TTGTGACCAGATGGAAAAACTCATACTCTTTGCTGGTAAAAAAAAAAAATCTTGAAAAATTCAACTGTATCCTAGATCAAAGAATGCTTTGGCAGATGTCCGAAAAGTAGTAATCAATCCAACAGAGCAGAAATAGCTAAGAAACTGGAATAATCTACCATTTTAATTACGTGTTGGAATTACACTCTGAAAAAATACTCTATTTAGGAATCCTGGTTTCTGGTAGACACCTACCATATGCTCCCTTAAGCCCCTACACGATTTGGTGAGCAACATATTTTTCCTTTCAGCAATAACGTATCAGCATGTTCTAAAATGGTATTATCTTCTTGTTTCCTTCCTAATGCAAATCATTGCTTTATGATTTAAAATAGAAGTCAGACAGGTTTCCTGTAATAAATTGGTCTTAAGTGTTCAATTTAAAAAAAAAAAAAATCACACGTAATAGTAGAATTACAAGCCCAAGAACAACACATACACCATTATTTTTTCAAAGCATAGATTTTGAATGTCAGATTTAAATTAAATAGAAATAGCTATCAACATAACTGAATTCTAAAAACTAGTTCAGCCACATGTACATCAGAAGATAAAAGCACTGTAGTATAATCATTTAAAACTTACATGGACAGTTTCACAAATGAAAAATAAAGTACATGGTTCTCCAAAATGTTCCTGCCCCCAAATTAGCTTTTTATCTTCTTCTCAGATGCATCTTACATTTTTTCTGATGTAGAACAGCTCTTTAAAAGGGACAACACTATATCAACCAAGAAACAAGAACCAGTCTTCCAACCAAACACAGCAGACACTACAATTTTGCTGAAAGGTGTTTCAACTTGTAAATTACATCTCTGAAAGTATATAAAAACTTGTTCAGAGAACATAAAGCCCACAAAAGGTAAGCATTTACTTAAAATGCAATACAAGTCCTTCTGCTAAGATTGGATTCCAAAAAGAGCTGTGAACCTATTTAAAGTTTTTAGATTTATTTATTAATTGCCTCCACAGATGGCTGTTATCTGGATGAAACAAAACAAATAGATTCTATGTAAATTTGAGGCCTGCTGGTAGTCATTAGCTTACATTTTTACATCTATCCTTCAAAATGTCATAAGAAGCAACTCATTTGCTTTATTTATGCAGTAACCTTGAAAATCCAAGTATTCCCTCCACCTCCACATTTCTGATAGTTGCTATTTTTGCTACAGGCATTTTAATAATGTAGCTCACAATTATTACCACCTCTGTATGTTAAAAATAATGTCAAATAATGTATTTTCATTATAGCTTTAGTGACACTACCTGTGGACAGAATGAATTCTAGAGATTTATAGACTCTATATTAGTCTGTAGAAATTGATCCTACTTGAGCATTATTAGTTATATGAATCCTGGAGGGTAACGGGTTACATTTTACCACCACTTTTCTACATTCTATGAGTATTCTTAATTCAGGAGTTTGACACAGCAAACTAACCTAGTCAACTCCAAAGTAAATTTGGAAAACACAAGTCCTAATCTGTCCAGCCTGCAGGCCTGTATAGTCTTCACTTAGTTTATTAGTACATTACACTCTTGCTAGAAGGCTCCTAATTGTATTCATCAGTTCCACTAATTTAACAAATAAGAGGTTTATTTGTCTTGATCTGTAATACAGCTACAATCACAAAAGAAATCTGCATGTTTATATCTGTGCTAAGTCACTTACATGTTTAACAGTTGGACAACTGCTTCACTACAGTCCTCACCCCCGCCCCACTACTTTCAAGAAGTATCCTCCACTTCTTTACTGATGTTACGTGTGGAGGTGTGGAGTTACCTGTGCCACGCACCTGCACTAGGCGCCGCTGCATCCCCTACTGCCTCGAGCATAGGTGCCACCTTTTTTTTGTGGCTGGTGGTGCTTGCAGGCATAAAAACCAACAACAAAAATGGCTCTTTACTTTTAACTAGGACCATTCCCGTGCCAAGCCCTATGCATATCCAGAAGAGGCAGTGTGTTACTGCTACCCGGTCTGTAAAGACTGAATCATCTCTAGCTAAAAGCACCAAAAAGCCCCACTGAAGCGCTCCATCTTTACAGACGCTGTAGAGCCAGGTTAAAGCCGTGTGCTGCTTCTTCCCATAAAGCACTGGGAGTTTTGTTTGTTGGGGTTTTTTAACATCTGCAGGCAGCTCTGGAGGTGCTGAGCACTGGCTAATTTTTTTCAGTGGGTGCTTGAGCCCCAGAGCACCCATGGAGCCGGCGTCCGTAGTCTCGAGGATCGACCCTGCTGCCTCCTACCATTCACAGACCACGGATCTTCGTCTCGCTCCACTGCTGCTGGAGAAATGAATCCTGCCAAGGCTGCAGCCAGGTCTGCAACTCCGCAGGTGCCACACACATCTCCCCACCACCAGCACCCCCCGCCAGCCGGCTCTGCAACGGGCGGCCGGTTATCCTCTGTGCTGCGACCGCCCGGCTGCCCGGATTAGTGCAAGCTTTCCCGCAGCCCTGCGGCACCCGGAGCTGCGGGGCTTTTCCTCCTTTCAGCTCCAGGGAAGGCGCTCGGCTGTCCCCCCCCCCCGGGGCCCTCCCGCGCCTCCGACACCTGGCGACAGGCCCAGACCTTTGTGCTCCGCAAGCCGAGCCCCGCCCGCTTCACAGCCCTGCTCCACCTGACCCGCGGCCTCCGCTTCGCCGCGCACCCTCCCCCCGGCACCCCCAAAACGCCACGTGCCCGCGCCCTGCTTACGTAACGCCCACGTCACACATGAGGCCCGGCACAATGACGACTTGGAGGAGCCGGAACCGAAGGGGCTCACGGTGCAGCCCGCTCCTCCCTGGGCCGGCAGCACTGGGCAGCCTCCCCTCCCCCTCCCGGGCGCACGTGCCGGGGGCGGTGCCAAGAGGGGAGGACGGTTGGACGCCCCGCCCCCGTGGCGTGCCCCGCCCCGTCACCAGCGCAGCCGACTAGGCGAGGCGAGTCTCAGCCCGGAGCCCGCGGGTGCCGCCCGCCCCG